TTCACTGCACAACAGGACCACATCTAAGGAAGGCCATTCATAATTTGTATATTTAAATCTGTGTTTTTTTCTGGCAGATGGTAGTAAAGTTTTTTAAGGAAGGAGTGCCTTTGTCTAATTTGTACAAAGGGACTTTATGGACTGTTAATGGTCCTGGCTCTAAGGATCTCAGCATAAAAGCAAAAAAAGAAAAATAATTTTTAAACAATTTGTGGATAAAACACTCACATCACTTGTTCCTCCAAGGTCTGCTACCCTCTGCCATTTATCTTAAAACTATATCCAGAAAACTGCATGGTCTATTAGGGGAAAAAAATATTTAGCACACTTTTCAATTTGAAAGACAGATGTTAACAAAAACCCCACTTTAAAAAAAAGGTAAAAACTTCCACCAGCAATAATAATTTTAATACAGGCTTATCTTATTTTACAAAAGTGATGTAACCCTGAAATTTCATTATAACAAGAATTTGTTTGAATTCCTTACATTTCAAATACATAAAGCATGTTTTTCATTAAACATATATATTTTATATGTATACACACGCGCACACACACACATACACACACACAGAGGTGCCAGGAAAAAACTGTATTAAAATTACACTGATGTGGTCTCTGAGCACCTCTTGTAATTGCAGAAATCAAACATGACTTGTATTCATCTTTTGTAATCAGTATACGAGTATATTACTACAATTTTAATAGTTTTTCCTTTCTTAAAATGTGTATACATTTTTTTGGGCAACCTCTTGTATATAGTATATATATAATAGCATTCTCTAATTTCTTTATATTCTTTTGTTTGTATGTTGAGGGAAGTGAGGGTGATGTAGTTCACTTAAAAGACATTAAGAGGATGTAGGCCAAAGTGATTTCTTGGCTCATTAGCCTGGCAAGCTCATTAAGAATCATGTTTTCTATGATATCACTACTCCTGGGAATTTGGGACAATGAAAGACTGATGGCAGGATTCAAATATCATTCATCTTTATATGCTTGGCAGTATCCAGCACAATGCCAAGTACATAGCAGTATTCAAAAGTAGTTGGGTAGTAGAAGAAAAACAAAAAAAAATCTCAATTTTAAGGAAAGTAATACAATCCTAACCTGAAAAGCATTATGTGATAAATTGTGCAATGCACATTATATGTGTCTCTTTGGGAAAAATATCAGTATGGATGGTTATTTGGGCAATAAAATATATCATTCTCATTATTATTACAACTTCTCTGAGATCACTCAGATCCTCTGACTTCAAAACTACTTCACATCCACTTTCCAGAATAGACTGTGGCTTAGGCTTTAGAGCAAAACTACACAAAGTATGGTCCATACACTTGTGCCAGAATTGCTTGTAATGGACTGTGATAAGTATGGAAATTCAAAGTAAGCATTTAAGAACCTTCATAGCAAAACTGTAACTATGTGAGGTGATGTATGCGTTAACTAACCTTATTGTGGTAATCATTTCACGATATATACATACATTAGATCATTACATTGTACAACTTAAACTTATATAATGTTATATGTCAATTATATCTCAATAAAGCTGGGGGGAAAATTTTTATAGCAATTTGAGAGCGTAATTTTATATCTATTGACTCTAATAACAAAACATTGAATTTTATTGATATCTTCTTTTGTTTTCCTAGTGATCCATTTTTACTGTATTTTATAAAAGTGCCAGTGTGAGAGGCACCAGAATTTTCTTTTTTTTAGTTGAGCCATCCTGCCACCTGTTGGCAGCTCAGCAGCAGCTCAGCTAGGGCCAGGCATCGAACCACTGTTGCTCAAAGCTCGCACTCTTGAGCGAGCTCTTAACCAACTGAGCCACTCGGCCAGCTCTTGGAATTTTTTAAAAGGCACTCAACATAAATAGCTTGGAGCAATTCAGTTGCTGAAGAAGCAAATCCTCAAAAGACTTCTTCAAACTTTCACTACTTTCAGTTACTATTCTCATAAGTGTGAAAAAAAAAATGTAGCAAGAGATTAAAAATGCAGAAAGAAAATAATATCACTTAAAATATTATTTACACTTTGGCTTTACAAAAGGCATCATGATATAAGGTTAAACATAATAGACTTTCAGCTTTATGTTTTAATCAGTACTACTGTATAAATTTTTAAAATTATTATTTACTGCAGCATATTTCATGTAAGGTTCTCAACCCTTACTGATTCTCAATAATTGCAAGTTATACCTGAAAGCATTAAGTATTATTTATACACAAATGGGGAAACATTGAACACATTTGCCTACGGTGAAAGACTTTCCAGAGTAGAACTTGCAGCTCTTGACTCTCAACGTCAGTCAATTATTTCCATAATATAACAGAACATGTTAGAACTCATTTAAGAATATGTGTTCACAGAAACCAGCAATGGAATAAAAGGAACACCTTAGAAATCCCTGTATTTGTGTATCTGTAGTCTTCAATACTAAGTCTACTTTCTTAAACTCAAAATAAGCAAGGCATTAAGAAAAAAAAATTTTTAATTTAACTAAGTTATAGTATTTCAGATTTACTGGCAATGAAATTACTTCAACTGTTAACTCGAATTTCACAGAACTGCATCAAATGCTTACTCTGCTCTGACAAGGTAAAGTGGCAAGTAAACAAGTTTCCTAAAGCAAAGTCTAGTTCATTAAACGTATTACTTAAAAATGCAATCTTCAACAAGTGAGATTCATACCACTTTAAAATTTACGTTATTATTCCCTGGATATACCCTACATTCCTAAATAAACAATACTGACAGAAAGTGTAAAAAATGTCATATCTACCATGATTTACCAGTTTTTCAGAGTTAAAACACTTTAAACATGTAAAATATAAACACTAAAAATTTCTTTTAAAAAATTTTAACCACTCAAGACAAAAAAAATCTTTAAAATGATTAAGCAACATGAGAGTAATAGGAGATTATATATGTATAATATCTATTCCTCTGACTAGGGAGAATTTGGGGCAAAAATGGTAGGTCTTTACCCACTTAATATCAATACAAGAAAAAAAGGTAAATTTATAAGTCTACGACAGGTCAATACATGGTTTTTTAAATTAATAAATCATACTCAGTACACAAAGGAAAATGCTTTCACTGGAACTTTTTTAGTTGTTAAACTGAATTTAGTCTATTCCAAAGTTGAGGCATTTAGCATACTGCTTGATACAGCTGCACTTTTATTCCATCGTGTCAATCAGAAATCTAAATATATCTTAGAAAAGAATAAACTCTACCCAAGAAGACAGATTGTAATGTGTTATTAGATTTTTGGAACGATCCCCACTTCTGTGGTGTAAACAAATATTTAGGCAGATCCTTTAGAAATCTTTTGCAATTTTCATTAGAAAGGCAATGTTAATAAAAGATCCTTTTTCTTTTCTATGAGTTGTGAAAGGAAATTATAGCTATCTGTTTTGGATAATCTTGTGAAAGACTTATGACAACAATTGCATATACAATGTAAAAATAGGAAAAATATTTCCACAGGAAAAATAGACAACTTGGCTTTCATTTTACTTGCCAGGGTATTCAGCACACCAAACAAGTAGAAAAAAATAGCTTTAAAATTAAATATGCTTTTTCCTAAGGATTTATTTTTCCTTATGTACTGAAATGGAAATGGCAGAGTATAATTTATATCTGCCTTCCACACATCAATAAAGACCAAAAACGAATCATTTAATCCTTCCGTCAATATTGACAGTAAAATATTGGATATGGTGAATATGAGCAGATGTGTTCTCTACTTCAGAATAACAGGAAAGTCACCTTTTAAAAAGTTAAAAAATCAAATGGTAGACAACCACCTGCCTACCCAAACGATTAAAATTAACCATGATTTTTTTCTGACTTCAAAAGCAATCAAGAAATTGATAGAATTTTAAGTGGATTATTATAAGAGGCAAGTTATAACCTCAAATTGAGTGCAACTTTTTCATGATAAATATTATGACTAGTTAATATGTCTCTCCATCCTTGAAACAAGCCGTCAGAGAATATGTCTCCCAAATCCCTATTACTGGACTAAATCCTTTCCAAAAGAAGATAGAAGAAACTGTTGAAACTTTCAGAAGTGCTGTTCAATAAAAGCTTAAGTGTGTACATCCAAATGGGAATGGGGGCAGGAAAGAACAGGAAAATGTTCCATGAAAAATATCTCTTACAATCTCTTAATACAGGCTTTAAAAATTTATCTCCAAAGAACAAAGGAAGCTACACAGAAGAAAAAGAGAAAGGAAGGAAGGACAGAAAGAAAGATGGGAGGGAAGAAAGGAGAGGGAGGGCAAAAGCAAAGGACATTCACCCTTTTCTTACAGAATACAACTGGAGTGCTTTGGTAACTGGTTGACGAACAGCTGGACCATTAAACCATTTTTAAAGCAGAAAATATACTCTTTATTCAACACCAATAAACTTTACAATGTTGAATACACTCATGTTAAGAATTTTTTTTTTTTACTCAGGTGTTCAGAAAACTCATCTTTTTCTCTACATTGGTGAAAAGACCGGGGGCGGAAGGGGTGCTGTCTCCGCTCCCACTTGAACTTCCTGTCTGAATTTTAAGTTTCCAAGGGAGTAAGTACTTCTGGGTTCCCTTCTCAGCTGGTATGATCTACGTTTCACTTTCAGCAGGCAATTTCTCAGTTGTCATGTACAGGTTCCACTTTAGGCAGGCAAAAGTCTGGTTGCTTCGGCTGACCTGGCTGCAAATTGAAACCGCCGCAAATACTTTACCTTTCGGGGGGATGTTAGCTGACCTAAATGCTCGCACTCCTCACGTGTATTCGCTGGTGAAAAGTACCGGGAGCATACCACACAGGCGTGTTTTTAAGGCGCCCGCCGCCTCCATGCCCGCGTGGCTCTTCCCTTTACCAGCACGCACTGATCAGGGAAGGGCAATGAAAGCTTCGGCAAGAATGCGTCGAGCGACGAGCGAGCTGTCCGCGGACCCTCGTTTAAACAAAACCCCACACGCGAACGCTTACCTTGTATGACATGCTCTGGCGAGATGGTTTTCTTCTCCGATTTGTTGCAAATCTCATTGGCTTCAGAAGAGATAAGGTGAATGAATTCAGTACAGCAGTTCACCACCAGCTCCCGGGCATCGTTGGCCACCCGGACATTGGGGAGAGTCTCTTTGATCATCTTATTGATAGCAGCTCTGGGTATAGTGAGATCATCATCGTTGCCAGATGAGGAAGCCATCGTTATCTTCCTATATGTCTCTCGCCCCGACTTGAAGAACTCCCCAGTTCTGGTCCACTACTCCACGAAGGTTTTTCAAAAGGCCGCCCTCAGAGAGTGATCCCGGGGGCTCTGCGAGAAGAAGGTGCAGAAAACGAAGGGGGGTGGGGAGACTGGCACGAGAGGGCAGGGGACACAGCGTGTGTGAGATTTAGGGCGAAGCTGGGAGGAAAGTCGGGGGGCTGAGAATTCGGCCCCAGGGCGGAGACGGAAAGGAAGGTGGTCAGGAAATTGGAGCACCGGGGAACACCTTCGTGTCTCCTCAGAGGGGCGGGCGCTGTCGCCCAACCGGTCCCCAACGGTGCCGGAGGGGCGGCAAGGTTCAGGGACACTGGCCTCGCTGAGGTCTATACACTGGGCGGACACCCAGCGGGCTTGGCTCTACAGAGCCGGAGTCCCAGCTGCCGCCGCCACCAGCAGCCTTTGCCGCCGTCTCAGCCAAACCATCCTTCAGACACCCACGCTGCTGCCTCACAACATGTCGGCCGCGGCCGCTGCTGGAACCTGGGCGGCCGCCTGGGAACGAATATGGACAGAGCCAGACACAAGGGAAGTAGCACTGGCGTCCGCCGTGGCCTTTTAGCCCGAACCCAGACAGTGGAAGCCGAAGCCGAGGCAACGGTGGTCCCTCCAGAGGCCAGGGAAGAAGGTTTATGGGAAGCGTCTCCCGACACCCTTTGCGCTACCGGAAGCCTCAGTCGCCCCTCCCCCCTCCCCTACCGAGTTCCGGGTGTGGCTATCGCCCTTCCCCCACCCGTGCCAGTAGGAACCGCCCGTCCTGGCGGCCCCCAGCTTCCGCCAGCCGCGGTCTTGGCACGCGCCCGGGCATCCCGCCCCTTGATGGGGACCGTAGCCAGGCGGGCGCGCGCCCCACAGTACCGGAGAACCCCGAGTACGCGATTGCTCCGGGCTGCGGCGCCAGACTCGGGATGCAGTGGGTGGGTGGACCGGCCAGGGTGGATCGCCTCCACCGTCTCTCAACCAGCGGGGGCTTCCAAACCCTTTCCCAGCTATGTTTGGGGACAAAGGAGTGCTGGCTTTTATTAAAAGAGCTCTCTTTGCTGTTCCTTAAAGGAGCACGAACCGGGTTTGAACGGCAGAGGAACAAAGTCTGGGGTCGGGAATAGGATATGAGAAAATCAGAACCCGGTGTTTCTGTGTCTGCAAGGTCCCGAGGAAAACCTTTTGCTATCAAATAGACGTTATTCGGATCAAAGCTCTTTATGGCCCTCCACCCAGTTTCTCGTTTTTGGGAAACAAAACATGCTGAGAAGTGATAATGACCTCCAGTCACTACTAATGGCAAAACCGGAAACGAGAAATAAGATCCAACTTAGTGGAAATGCGTAGCATTAAGAGGCTCCAACTTAGCTATTTTTCATGGTGTATTGCACGTTGCCTTCTGAATGGCGGGGTGGGGGTGTAGTATGTTACAGTGTCAAGCAGATCTGATTTTTTCTTTCCAGGGTGCCTAGTAACATCACCATGTGTCAAGTTCTTAACCAAAATTGCACTATTTTTTTTAAAAACTAAATTTGTCATACTGTCATTTGGAAGAAGAGTTTCTGTTACAAATACTGGGATGTTGCAATTTCTGAAAAGTAAACGAGATACCATTTAAATCAGTTTTGGCACTTCAGTTAATCAGATACATTGTTCTTGATACATTGGACAGCAACTGGCTTGTTTGAAATGTGTTCTTAAAACGTTTAAGAAATACCCTAGATATGGCACCTGGAGATGCCCTTGGTTAATGACACTTTTTTTTCCATTTAGCATTCTCTTTAGCACACTTACCAGTTCTTCAATTTCTGAAGTGCAGATGCTTGTTTTTCAATGCAATTAAGTGTAGCCAAACCAAAATTTCTTTCATAAAACAATATTTTAAAATTTTCTTCACAAATAGGAATGTGAAACTGTTGGCTCTGTTGTTGGCCCTTTATGAAGTTGTTTATGTAAGTCAGTTTACTGTTGGTTTAAAGAGTTACTATGCTCTCTAAATTCATCTTGGCCTTACCAAGTTTATCAGTCTGAAAAAACTAGCTAGCAAAAATGTCCCCAGAGTTATCACATTGTCACTGACCCAAATTTTGTCATTCCTGAAAACAATATAATTTTGCTTTTTTGTATAACGTTTATGCTTTGTAGAACAACAGGCTTATACATAACGTAGATCTGAAGAGCACACATGTTAAGTTGTTCCAGTAATAGTTTATTACTACATAGTGTGGTAGCATAAACATGAAATGTGTAGTAAAGAGACCTAGGTTCCAGTCCCAGTTTTTTGTTACTTGAGATAGGTCAGTCTCCAAGCCTCATTTTCTTCAACTAGAAATGGAAATGTAACTCAGGATTCAAAGTCAAATGAGACCATATGTAAAAGCACTTTTAGCATTATGAGGTATATAGATGTTGGTTTTTATTATTACCTTGATCAGGTCTAAGCAGTCTTCAACTATTAATAAACCATACATAATATGGCTGAGGGAAATTTTAAGTCCAGTAAGTCCCCGACTTAGGAACATTCAAGTTGCAAACTTTCACAGATATGAACAGACCTCGCATTACAAACATTCGTAGATGCAAACAAATCGTGGAAGTAGCTCATGTGTCTGCCAGACATTGTCACAGTTGTGCTACTGTGTGCTTACTGTACAGTGCGATAGTGTACAGTAGTACAATGCTCAATCAGTGCCCAGGATGTCCGGAAGCAAGAAGAAAAGCAGTGGTGATGTGGAAGAGACTGCTAGGAAGTGTCAAGTGTGTATAAGACTCACTTTTGAGTGTTAGCCGTCGGAGCGGGGTTCTGTCCCCGCTGGGCTGCCACCCGCCCTGGGCTCCCGCCATGGAACTCAGCGTCGAGTACCTGCGGGAGAAACTGCAGCAGGACCTGGAGGCAGAGCACGTGGAAGTGGAGGACAGGACTCCCAACTGTTGCGCGTCCAGCTTCCGAGTCCTGGTGGTGTCGGCCAAGTTCGAGGGGAAGCCGCTGCTTCAGAGACACCAGCTGGTGAACACGTGCCTAGCAGAAGAGCTCCCGCACATCCATGCCTTTGAGCAGAAAACCCTGACCCGGACTTGCACAGCCATTAAATTATGAATCAGGGAAGAAAAAAAAAAAAAGACTCACTTTGTCGGATTTACGAATGAATCTGACTTAATGTTCTCCCAGAACGGAACTCGTTCGTAAGTCGGGGACTTACTGTATAAAGAGTAATGTGACAAGAAATTTGCTAATCTGGATCCTATAGTTATTTACAGTAAAATATATCCCTATTATAAATATGCCTTTGAAAACAAAGATAACATCTTAATGAGCTTTAAGACTTTTAGAGTGCATATGTATGAAACATTTTTTTTCTCATGGTATCCCAAAATTCATGATATGAAAAGAAACAGTTTTTCTTTTAAAATATTTTATTGGGGAATTAGGGGAGGGGAACAGTGCTGGGGAGTCAGGGGCACAGACAAGTTGCTGTCCTTTTGTTCTTCAGTCTAGTTGTGGAGGACGTTGCTTCACTGGCCCATGCTGGTATCATCATTGCGCTCTTCCCAGGTGAGGCAGATCGGTCGCCGGCCTCTGGACAGCCGTTCACGGTGGCTCTTGGCAGCTCATGTCAGCTGCCGGCCACTCACGCTGGCTGCCGGCCACACACGGTAGCTTATGGCAGCTCATTGCAGCTTCACTGCAGCCTACGCCGTGGCCGGCGACTCACTGCAGCCCAGCTCCAGGTCGAGCTGTTGTTCACCATTTTAGCTGCAGAGGGTGCAGTGTCACTGGCCCTCATGTGGGATCCAAACCCAGGCTCTGCTGCTCAGAGCTGGCGTCTCAAACCAGCTGTTAACCAACGTGCCACTTGGCCGGCCCAACAGTTTTTCTTATGGTGAATTAGGCTAACTCTACAGTAGTTATCTTAAAATGTGTTAATTCACAGATGCCCAGATTTTCAGATACTATTATAATAATCTATAACATTTGTAATTTGAAGCTTAACATTTTAAAGCAAATGATGCTATCCTTTGTGCTAATTTGTCATTGCTAACACACCATTTGCTAGTTGGTGTTCACACAAATTTAAAAAATAACTAACGGGCTGGCCAAGTGGCGCATTGGTTAACAGTTGGCTTTGGACACCAGCTCTGAGCAGCAGGGCTCCGGTTTGGATCCCACATTAGGGGCAGTAACACTGCGCCCTCTACAGCTAAGATGGTGAACAACAGCTCGTCATGGAGCTGGGCTGCCATGAGTCTCTGGTGCTGGGGTAGGCTGCAGTGAAGCTGCAGTGGGCTGCCATAAGCTACCATGAATGGCTGGCAGCCAGTGTGAGCGGCCGTTAGCCAGCCTGAGCTGCCAAGAGCCTCCATGAGCGGCCGGTGACCTATCTGCCTCACCTGGGAAGAGCGCAATGATAATACCAACATGGGCCAGTGAAGCAACATTCTCCACAACTGAACTAAAGAACAAAAGGACAGCCACTTGTCTGTTCCCCTTCCCTGATTCCCCAACGCTGTTCCCCTCCCTCAAAACCCCAATAAAATCTTAAAAAAACAAAAACAACTAACATTATATGCTTCTTTTGTGATAGCTCTGTGCTAAGAACTTTTACCTAAGTACTTTTACCTTTGTTATTTCATTTAATCCTCAGAACAACCTTATCATTTAATCCTCAGAACAACCTTATCTGATAGATACTGTTTCACTCTCTGTTTTACAGGTAAAGAAAGTGAAGCTGGAAGAAGCTAAATAACTTCCCTGAAGTCAGTATAGTAAGGATAAGCTAAATTATGTTGCAAGAATCTCAAAAAGTTTATTTTCTTGCTCATTTTCTGGGTTCATCCTGAGTCAGCAAGAGAACTTACCACACAGTAATCACTCAAGAATCCATTGGAGCTGTTAGGAAGAAGTAATGAAGGAGCTTTGAAAAATAAGCTTTTGATAGGTGGAGAGAGAGGAAAAAAGTATTTGTGTTCGAAGTAATGGTATAAACTTGTGTAGACAGAAATAGTGGGAACAGTGAAAAGATCACCTTAATTGAAGTAAAGCATTTTTGTTTACCATAGTTAGAGAGAAGTAAGAGAGCCAAACACATGAGGCAGCAGAAGTTGTGAAGTAATAGAAGCCCACAAATAGGAGGAGGAGAGAGAACTCAGTTGTAAAAAAGTCAGTAGAAGCAAGGAGAGAAGTTTTAGGGCTCAGATAATGTCAGCGAGACCAACAAAATAACTGGATCTCTAGAGTGTTGGTTATTCTTCTTTTGAAAGAGAATATGCCTCCATGAAACAGTTTCCTGTGCTTTACTTTCTGTGTATCTTCGTAATACTCTTCTAAAAATTCCATTTTTATTCTACATAACTTGAAAGCCCAACTCATTGAAGGGCTTTGGCTTCAGATCTGGGTTTGATCCCCGCTCTGCCATTTAACTAACTTGGGAAGGGTATTTAAGCTGTATCTTGATTTTTCTCCTCTAAAAAATACATGCTTCACAGGTGTTTTAAAGCTCAAATGACATAATATATGCAAAGTATTTAGGCCAGAATTTAAATGCTAAATAAGTCATGGTAGTTGTTAAAAAATAATTATTACACTGATGATGATTACTCCTAGGGATGGAATAATGGAATTGAAAAGAAAGGTGATTCCAAGAACTATTTCACAGACAGAGTTGGAAGAACCTGAGAGTTTGGCTCTTAGTCAAAGAACAGACTAATCAAATATAATTATAAGATTTTTAACCTCAGAAACTGGGGTTAAGGTAGTGTCAAAAACAGCAAAATTGAAAGGCAGTAGTTTTAGAGGAGAAGTGCTTGCTTTTGGACGTGTTTGGGTTTAAGGTAACAGTAGGCATTTAAGGAAGAGATGTCTTGTAGGCAGTAGAAAGGGAAAATAGCATCTGATTCCTACATTCATTCAACACCAGAGTGTGTATTGTCCTAAGTATGGTATGGGAGAGAGAAAGATAAATAAACAGCCTTGTTTTCACGGACCCTACAACCTACCTGAATAAAGAGAGTTCAGTAATAATAAGGTAGAGGGAACAAATCAGAGACATTTGGAAACAGAGGATTTAGCTCCTAATTGCATCTTCAGTGAGGTAAGAGGAAGTAGTGTGTCTGGTTTGTTCATCCCTGCATCCCCAGGGCCAGCACAGTTCCAGGCACATTTTAGGCACTTAATAAATATTTGTTAACTCTGCAAGTGGATGAGGACCTTTAAGGATAGTAGAGTAAAAAAGAAATCCAAAGACAAAAAAAGCAAAAAGAAGAAAACATGTCAGGGAATACTTGATAGGAACCAAGAAAGCATAGTGTAGAGGACATGGGAGAGTTGCAAGGATGTGAGATGCCACAGAGAGGCATTATTGGAAGGGGATCAAATGTAGTGTCCCTGAAGTAAAAGGTCAGTAGGAGAGAGCAGAAGTCAACATGCAAACAGTTAAGAGAGGAATGAGGGGAAGAACTGGAGCCAAGAAATATGGAGTTCACTTTCAAAAAGTTCAGTGGTGAAAGGAAAGGGAACAATGGGATGACAGCTTGAAGAAGAAGCAGGGTCAAGGGAGAATTACAAAGGCTAGACGGTACATGTACTTCAAGGGAAAAGAGCTACAGGTGGGGTAGATTGAAAAAACAAGCAAAATAAGGTCTTAAGGAAATGGAGGTGGATGAGATTGAAAAAGCACAGATGGAGTGAGCAGGACTAGATGCACAGATATGGGCATGCTTCATAGAGAGGAGAGGTGGAAGACAAGATAACAGGTGAGTGATTATAGACAGTATTGCAAAAGGGGATACGCAGAAGACTAAATCTTTAGAGAATGACAACAGGCAAGGGCAAAGAAGTGATCAGAGAAAACAGAAAAGAGTTGTATAAATTCACTGTCACATAAACCAATACATGACTGACTCACCAGCTTTGAGAAAAGTAAGAGGTAGCCAAAAGTGTCAAGTATAAGCAGAGTAGGGCATGAGGACTGGGAATAGATGTTCATCCAGTGATATCTGTATAAGCAGTTCATAAACAAAAACACTGGAATTCCTTCTTTTGTCTATTCAGTTAAAGCTAATAAATTTCCACGGGTCAACTTTGCAACTAACTCAAAAATTTTAAGGTAAATAACAAATCCTTATGTCTATAGGTATAAATTTAAAATGTGATGCAAATAAATTTTTCTTTCAAGTGATGTGACTTTTGAATCTAATTCAACCATGTTAGTTCACTTTAAAAAGCATCTGAAGTAGATGGAACTAGGAAGCCTAATTCTGTAAATCGCATTCATTCATTTATACATTGCTTTCATTCAACAAATGTTTATTTGGTGTCTAACATATACTTTGCTAGGTACTGGATATATAGCAATAAAGAAAGACACCACCAGGGTCTTCATAGCTAAATAAATATTAATACCACAGTAAAAAAAGGCTGTATTTATTATTATTATTATTAGTTTCAAGTGTACAAAACAATGCAATAGTTATCCTTTTCACCCTTCACAAAGTGACAACCCCCCTCCTATCCACTGTCCTCCCACCGCCGATATCATACATATCTATTACAATTCCATTGACTCCATTCCCGCACTATACTCCACATTTCATGACTATATATGTATTAAATTATAGTTGACATAATATTATTCAACGGCAGCTTCAGATGTGCAGTGCAGTGGTCAGGCCTCTACACCATCCATGAAGTGGTCTCCCTGACAAGACATGAGACCATCTGGCCCCCTAAAAAATATTTACAACATTATTGATTATATTCTCCAGACTGTCTTTTCTATCCCTGAGGCCATATTGTAGTTACCAATTTATGTTGTCTCGTCCCTTCCCCTTCTCCCTCATCCCCACACCCTCCCAACTAGCAACCATCAGTTTTTCCTCTGTGTCTCTGAGACCATTTCTATTTACATTACTCGTTTATTCAGTTCTTTAGAATCCACATATAAGTGAGATCATATGGTATTTGTCTTTCTCTGACTGACTTTTTTCACTTAGCATAATGTTCTCTAGGTTTATCCATATCATTGCAAATGGTACAATTTACTTCTTCTTTATAGCTGAGTAATACTCCATTGTGTAAATGTACCACAGTTTCTTAATCCAGTCATCTACCGATGACTTTTGTTTCCAAGTCTTGGCTATTGTAGATAGCGCTGCAATGAACATGGGGTTGCATATATTTTTTTGAATTAGTGTCTTGCGTTTTTCTGGATAGATACCTAAGAGTGGAATTGCTGGGTCATAAGGTAGTTCCATTTCCAGTTTTTTGAGATACCTCCAAACTGATTTCCATAAGGGCTGCACCAGTCTGCAATCCCATCAACAGTGCACCAGGGTTCCCTTTTCCCCACAACCTCGCCAGCACTTGTTGTATGTTGATTTATTGATGATAGCTATTCTGACCGCGTAAGGTGGTATCTCGTTGTGGAAAAAAAAAGCAGTATTTTGTCAT